CTATGAACAAAACCCTGCTTCTCATAGTGGCACCTGCAGGCAATTCAGAAGGTACTTTGAACACTAATTCCCTAAGGCAGTTGACTGACAGTGGTAGCTAATATTTCTCATCAGCTTGTCTGGATGCAAATGTTCAGGTGAAGATTGTCCCATGGACATACCTCTCTCTTCTGTCTCTCTGCATATTCTAGGTGGACTTCCAGCTCTTTGTGTCTGGCTAGATCATAGGGGTTGAGCACTGGCTCCTATATCCTCATTTGCCTTTTTGCTGAGCATATAAATGGTGCTCAAGAATTTTTTGTTGAATTGAAATCCTTTTTATTTTAATCTGAAACTGAACCAAATTCCCACTATTATGATCTCCAACCAAAAGCAAAATAATTGTTTTCCATGTATTGATTTAAACTAAAATCATGCTTAACCAATTAAGGAACAGAGTCTGATTTAGTACATGGTTTAATCATCTAAAGATTTGGTTTTGTGTGTGTGTTATTTTTTCATGAGAGACAGAGAGAATGAGAACTAGGACTCTTAACAGGGTCTCAATGCTGCGATCCACCCCTAGCCAGCATGGGCCATTCCCCAGCCTCATCTCATGCATCATTTCCTGGATTTCTTCAGGACCCTAGAACTGACTTAGTACATGTTTTAATAGTCTAAGGATTTGTGTGTGTGTGTGTGTATGTGTGTTTGTGTGTGTGTGTGTTTGTGCTTTATTATTGTTTCATGAACAAAAGAGACTGAGAGAGAGACCAAGAGAGAAGGGAGAGAGAAAGAACCAGCACCCCTCATAGAGTCTCAATGCTGCAATCCACCCCCAGTCAGCCTGGATCATGGGCACATCCCCAGCCTTATCTCATGCATCCTGTCCTACTTCTCTTTGGGTCCCTGGAACAGCCCATGCTATTCCTGTGTCTTGCTTTCTCTCACCTTCCACCTTATGCATCCTCAGCTCTCATCTCAATCACCACTTCCTTGGGAAGATCTGAAGGTAAACTCCATACTTGTCTGTTCACTTATCTGTACTGAGCATTTAGAAAAGTGTTATGTAGTAGGTGCTCTGTAGTATTTATTTTTGCTTTGTTTTGTTTTCATGTGTGTGTGGGTGTGTGTGTGTGTGTGTGTGTGTGAGAGAGAGAGAGAGAGAGAGAGAGAGAGATAAACACCCTTGACAGAGTCTCATCACACCATGATCCCCATCTCCTCTCCTCAGGATTTCAGGATTCTGGGAGTCCAAGTATGAGCCTAGAATGTTTTTATGCTGACCAGGGGATCCAAACCTGTGGTCAGCCATATGGCTTCCAGCCTTGCTGGACACTACGTTATCACTGTGTCTCAGTGACTAGGGCTGAAATATTTGTTGAGTTAATAAAGGTATCTTGTGACTAGACAGTGACACAGCCGTAAAATGTGATACTCTGTGAGGCTAATTTACATGGAAGGGTTCAAGGTTCACTTCTGGAGAACTCTTTGAGTACACTGGGTATGCCCTTGAACTGGGGCTGGCAGAGGCTGGGGGTGAATCCCAATGTCAACACTCTATTGGAGTGCCTGTCTCTCTGTGCGTGTGTCTTTCTTTCACTCATGGAATGAATAAAGAAATAAGCTTTAAAAATAATAAAGGTGTCTTGAGAAACTTTTTTCACTGATCTATAATGTTCAGGTGTATATACTCTGTAAACCCAGTTTCACAGCAAATACTTCTCCTTTCCCAACTTTAAAAAAAAAGAATGATTTTATTTAACTTTATTTATTGATTTATTTTAACTTGACCAGAAAGAGAAAGAGAGAGAGAGAGAGAGAGAGAGAGAGAGAGAGAGAGAGAAAGTGAGATAGCAAGTCTCCAGGTTCAGGACTTGAACTGTGGTCAGCAATGTGAGAGTCCAGGGTCTTTAATCACCATGCCACCTCCTGGCCCTTCCTTTTCCCAACTTTCCACCTTCTCATTAAATTGTACTTTCAAGCCTGCTGCTTTAGAAACTCAAGTGCTGCCCACTGGTAGGTTCTCAGTACATCTTTATGAGATCCCAGAGCTGGAAAATTTCAGGGAAGTTTCCTGAAGGTATGCACCTAGCCAAAGTGTGGTCCATCCAACTAGAGAGAGAGTCCCTGCTTCCAAGAGCACACTCGGGTAGTTTATGAATACACGAGCAGTTTGTTCAGGGCAAGTACCAAGCAAGATCAGCTGGAATTAGCTCTACAGTTTTAAAAAGCTTTACAGCTTCCTGAAAGGACTTTTTTTTTTTTTTTAACATTAATACTTGTTTCTGTGCATATATGAGAGCATGTCCACATTCATGAGCCTTTCCAAAAACCTCAAAAAAAAAAAAAAAAGGGAATGCCATGCATGTCAGTCAATAGAGACATTAATGTCCCCACTTCATCATTCAGTACTTTTCCTTGTTTTTCCCAATCATTATTATTATTATTCCAATTATTTTTTAAACAGTCAATTGCTGTTTCTCATTTTGCTTGTAAAAATACTTTGCCCATCATGAAATACTTCTCAGACCAATCCAGTTGAGAATACTATACATGTCATCATCAACAGGTAATAAGCCGTATCTGTTTCCTACTAACGTCCTGCCTCTCTATTTGTTCTCTTGCCATCTTTCTCTATCCTCTTCTCTTCACCCCCCCATTCCGCACTGTCTTATTCTTGTTAAGTACTTTCACTGCTTTTATGTCCTCCAATATTTCACTCTCTACCATAGTCACTCCCTATCTTCAGAGTTTCCTTACAGTGCAGCTTGTCAGTGGCCTCACCAACAATCATCATCTGGCTTTAGATGTGGCTAGTGTGCCTTGTTGCTGTAACTGAGGGTATGTCAGAATTAAAGTGTAAGGAATGGTGAAGGGTGTGGCTATCACACATTACCACACTTCTGGGAAATTAGAAAACAAATGGTCTTGAATTTAGTGGTGACATGAAGGAGTACTGTTATTGCACACATCTTGAAATCATTTTATTCCAAAAACCATTTGGCTTTAGAGAAACACATTGGGAAACTGAAACGCATTGAAAAGCTAGAAATAGGTCAAAGTGATTGCAGAACAGCCTTTCAGCATTGTTGTGCGGCTCCAAATGTCTTCCCTTGGTCACCCAATCAGAGAGCTTGTCTTTAAACTAATGATATTCAGTTGGTTACTATGGCAATGATGGAGTATTAGTTGTCATGGTGATGAAATGGAAATTTGGGGGACCAATTTCTTTAGAGGTAGTAGATTCATTAAACCCGCTTTCTTTCTTTCCGTAAAACTTGACCATATTTTATAATACTTTTAAAGGGGGTCCATTTTCATGCTCTGCGTACATTTCAGGATTTATATTCTTATTCTTGGATCTCATGGCTTAAGTCTTTCCAACTCTATGCTATGAGTAGACACGCCCTGCACCCTACACGGTGTTTTATGGCATGTATTAAAGAATGAAACTGCAGAAGCTAGGGTTCTTTTTATCCCCACAGAGTGTTTGTTCTAAACTCTGTTGGATTCCTCTAAAGTTATTCTGGTATAAAATAGTACAAGACAGAATAAATATAATGGACTGTAAATAATAAAGGAGAATTTTTACCAGTGCAATGCAATCACCTATTCCTTACTGATATGTTTATTAGAATCACAATTTGAGGCAGCTCCTTTAAAAATTGTTTTTAATTGCCAGAATTTACATGCATTTGCCAGAGAAAGAGAGAGAGACACATACAGAGAGAGAGAAAGCACCCCTCCCAGTAGGTTATGGTGCTGCCACAATCCCTTCTCCTCCACTTCACTGTCCTGTTGGGCTTTTTGAGTATATGTGCATGTGCCCTGAGTAGTTTTCAAGCTGGCATGGCCACAGACAACCATGTGGGATCCGGCTCCCAATGCATACTGTCTAACTGCTCAGCTGCACGGCTGGAACAAGGCAAATTTTTTGTAAAACAGTAGAAATCTGCCTCTTCTTCCCTCCCAGTGCTGATGGAGATTTCATTTCTCTTTGCAAAGATTCTGCTGTAGGGGATCATCAATAGAAAATATATGTTGTTCACATGTTACACCAACTTAATTGGCCGTTTTCTTGACTGGTCCCCCAAAGTTAATTTAGCTGCTCATTTTTGGGTTCAGGAAAAGAAAGAGTGGTACTATGAGCCGTTTGGCTTAGTTTGGGACTCATTAGAGAATGCAGAGAAAATATTTTGGAAGAAATCTGAATTCATGGACTTCTCAGTTCTTCCGAGATTACTTTTGGTATATGAATAAGAACTCCATGGAACAGGCTTTTTGGTGTAATTTTATAATAAGAGTTTGCTACCATAAAATTTTTACACGATATTTATGACAGTAATTTTTTTTTGAAGTTAAAACATTTTTACTTCAGGAATTTTAAATGTGATTCCTCCATAGCCCATCAAGGTCACCACTTTAGTCCCTCCAAAGCTTCAGTCAAGATTTTATCTTCCTAAAAGAACTGGTGCTTAATCCACAGTTCTCCTTTCAGCCCTAACACAATCCTTTCATTTGAGGCTCCTTTATCTCCATCTGAATTATGGACTACCTAGGATCTTTGGGATCTGATTTCTTCAAGTAGTTTACTTTAGAGTCATTTTTAGCTCAGGTGGATCTGCCTGGTTTTCAAATTCTGACACCCTCTGTAAACATGAATGAGTTCGTATCACATTTATTCCTAAGCTATTACACAAGAATAATACAGGATCTGGGACCAGCAGGTGGTGTGGTGGTTAAGAGCGCTGAACCTGGCATCTCGCTTTCTCACTTGCTCCCTTTCTTTTACTCTGTTCATCTCTGGTCAAATTAAAATAAATAAATAAATAAAGTTCAATAAAATAATTATTTTAAAAAAAGAGAATAACAGGATCCATGGGATATGACAATATCTAAAAAAATTATTATGAGATCTTTTATATTTCTGATCACACTGTATTATATTGGGTCAACAGAAAAGTCATGACATATTTTTCAGTGTAAAAATGCATCATGACTTTTCTGACGACCCAGTAGACTATAATAGTTCCTTCTCACAGACCTGACCAATAGTCCATTGAGGAAAGCAAACTACAGTGTTACTCTATGAGGTGTTTCTAATGATGTGCAGCTACAGGAAAAGCCCCATCAGAATAGACCTCACTGACAGTGATTCTTTTTTAAAATAAAAAACTGTATTTATTTATGAGCATTCAGAGTGTCAACAAAACAACAAAACGCTGCAACTGTTTTTCTTTTTCTTTGCAATTACAGAATAGTATTCAGTTAATAGGATAATTATTTCACGTAAGCTTCAATGGAGAAAAGCGAAGATGAAAAAACTACCATCCTGTATATAACGATTTTGTGCTGTGCACCAGCAAGAAATTGTTTTGAATTTCCATGCCCATTTACAACCCCCACACTGGACCAGGCAAGAGAAGTGGCTATTGAAAATACCACAGGACTGGGCTTTTTATAGACACTTTGGTAATGTATTCACTGTTCAAAAAAAAGACACTGTACAGTTTGAAAACAAATCTTACTGAGTCTTACGTTTCAAGTTTTTTTTCTTTAAAAGTAAGTTGCATTTAGAGGGGATTAAATGCTTTATAGACAAGGATAAAAAACTTTGCCAGAACCAACTTATTCATCATCATTGTCTTCTTCATTTTTGCCTCCTTGTCTTTCTCTTCTTCCTTCTATTTTCTGCTCTTTTCAGCTTTGACAACTCCATTTCTCATCAGGCTTTTCCTTTAGCTCAAAATGCAGCCATATCCTTTTTTGTATTTTTCCTTCAGCTTAGCAGCCTTTTTTTCACAGGCTGCTGTCATCTGCAAGTGCTATCCTACATCTCTCCCAAGAGAAAGAGAGAGAGAGAGAGAGAGAGAGAGAGAGAGAGAGAGAGAAAGTGAGATAGCAAGTCTCCAGGTTCAGGACTTGAACTGTGGTCAGCAATGTGAGAGTCCAGGGTCTTTAATCACCATGCCACCTCCTGGCCCTTCCTTTTCCCAACTTTCCACCTTCTCATTAAATTGTACTTTCAAGCCTGCTGCTTTAGAAACTCAAGTGCTGCCCACTGGTAGGTTCTCAGTACATCTTTATGAGATCCCAGAGCTGGAAAATTTCAGGGAAGTTTCCTGAAGGTATGCACCTAGCCAAAGTGTGGTCCATCCAACTAGAGAGAGAGTCCCTGCTTCCAAGAGCACACTCGGGTAGTTTATGAATACACGAGCAGTTTGTTCAGGGCAAGTACCAAGCAAGATCAGCTGGAATTAGCTCTACAGTTTTAAAAAGCTTTACAGCTTCCTGAAAGGACTTTTTTTTTTTTTTTAACATTAATACTTGTTTCTGTGCATATATGAGAGCATGTCCACATTCATGAGCCTTTCCCCCTCCTCTGATATTTTACAGGATTGTCACTCCTTATCTTTTTCTTTTTTTTAGTTTTGTCTTGCATCCTTTTTATTAATTTTATTCATTAAAATTTTTTATTATCATCATAATCTTGTTTATATTACATTGGCTTGCATATAACTTTATAGTGTATTACAATGCTTTTTCAAAAGGGAATGCCGGGGACCAGCAGTTAGCGTAATGGCTATGTCGCTAGACTCCCACGTAGTCGACCGTGGTTTACGTCCCAGACCCCGTGACTTAAAACTCACGCTGGGCGCGTGTGCATGCGTGCCCAAGATCCCGAGAGGAGAATGGAGGAGAAGGGATTGTGGCGTGACCATCCTCCGTGGGGGGTGATTTCTCGTTTCCTGTCTCTATGTCTCTGTCTGTCTGGTGAGCGCACACGCCCTATAGCAAAACAAAACAAAACAAAACAAAAAACTCTCAAAAAAAAAAAAAAGGGAATGCCATGCATGTCAGTCAATAGAGACATTAATGTCCCCACTTCATCATTCAGTACTTTTCCTTGTTTTTCCCAATCATTATTATTATTATTCCAATTATTTTTTAAACAGTCAATTGCTGTTTCTCATTTTGCTTGTAAAAATACTTTGCCCATCATGAAATACTTCTCAGACCAATCCAGTTGAGAATACTATACATGTCATCATCAACAGGTAATAAGCCGTATCTGTTTCCTACTAACGTCCTGCCTCTCTATTTGTTCTCTTGCCATCTTTCTCTATCCTCTTCTCTTCACCCCCCCATTCCGCACTGTCTTATTCTTGTTAAGTACTTTCACTGCTTTTATGTCCTCCAATATTTCACTCTCTACCATAGTCACTCCCTATCTTCAGAGTTTCCTTACAGTGCAGCTTGTCAGTGGCCTCACCAACAATCATCATCTGGCTTTAGATGTGGCTAGTGTGCCTTGTTGCTGTAACTGAGGGTATGTCAGAATTAAAGTGTAAGGAATGGTGAAGGGTGTGGCTATCACACATTACCACACTTCTGGGAAATTAGAAAACAAATGGTCTTGAATTTAGTGGTGACATGAAGGAGTACTGTTATTGCACACATCTTGAAATCATTTTATTCCAAAAACCATTTGGCTTTAGAGAAACACATTGGGAAACTGAAACGCATTGAAAAGCTAGAAATAGGTCAAAGTGATTGCAGAACAGCCTTTCAGCATTGTTGTGCGGCTCCAAATGTCTTCCCTTGGTCACCCAATCAGAGAGCTTGTCTTTAAACTAATGATATTCAGTTGGTTACTATGGCAATGATGGAGTATTAGTTGTCATGGTGATGAAATGGAAATTTGGGGGACCAATTTCTTTAGAGGTAGTAGATTCATTAAACCCGCTTTCTTTCTTTCCGTAAAACTTGACCATATTTTATAATACTTTTAAAGGGGGTCCATTTTCATGCTCTGCGTACATTTCAGGATTTATATTCTTATTCTTGGATCTCATGGCTTAAGTCTTTCCAACTCTATGCTATGAGTAGACACGCCCTGCACCCTACACGGTGTTTTATGGCATGTATTAAAGAATGAAACTGCAGAAGCTAGGGTTCTTTTTATCCCCACAGAGTGTTTGTTCTAAACTCTGTTGGATTCCTCTAAAGTTATTCTGGTATAAAATAGTACAAGACAGAATAAATATAATGGACTGTAAATAATAAAGGAGAATTTTTACCAGTGCAATGCAATCACCTATTCCTTACTGATATGTTTATTAGAATCACAATTTGAGGCAGCTCCTTTAAAAATTGTTTTTAATTGCCAGAATTTACATGCATTTGCCAGAGAAAGAGAGAGAGACACATACAGAGAGAGAGAAAGCACCCCTCCCAGTAGGTTATGGTGCTGCCACAATCCCTTCTCCTCCACTTCACTGTCCTGTTGGGCTTTTTGAGTATATGTGCATGTGCCCTGAGTAGTTTTCAAGCTGGCATGGCCACAGACAACCATGTGGGATCCGGCTCCCAATGCATACTGTCTAACTGCTCAGCTGCACGGCTGGAACAAGGCAAATTTTTTGTAAAACAGTAGAAATCTGCCTCTTCTTCCCTCCCAGTGCTGATGGAGATTTCATTTCTCTTTGCAAAGATTCTGCTGTAGGGGATCATCAATAGAAAATATATGTTGTTCACATGTTACACCAACTTAATTGGCCGTTTTCTTGACTGGTCCCCCAAAGTTAATTTAGCTGCTCATTTTTGGGTTCAGGAAAAGAAAGAGTGGTACTATGAGCCGTTTGGCTTAGTTTGGGACTCATTAGAGAATGCAGAGAAAATATTTTGGAAGAAATCTGAATTCATGGACTTCTCAGTTCTTCCGAGATTACTTTTGGTATATGAATAAGAACTCCATGGAACAGGCTTTTTGGTGTAATTTTATAATAAGAGTTTGCTACCATAAAATTTTTACACGATATTTATGACAGTAATTTTTTTTTGAAGTTAAAACATTTTTACTTCAGGAATTTTAAATGTGATTCCTCCATAGCCCATCAAGGTCACCACTTTAGTCCCTCCAAAGCTTCAGTCAAGATTTTATCTTCCTAAAAGAACTGGTGCTTAATCCACAGTTCTCCTTTCAGCCCTAACACAATCCTTTCATTTGAGGCTCCTTTATCTCCATCTGAATTATGGACTACCTAGGATCTTTGGGATCTGATTTCTTCAAGTAGTTTACTTTAGAGTCATTTTTAGCTCAGGTGGATCTGCCTGGTTTTCAAATTCTGACACCCTCTGTAAACATGAATGAGTTCGTATCACATTTATTCCTAAGCTATTACACAAGAATAATACAGGATCTGGGACCAGCAGGTGGTGTGGTGGTTAAGAGCGCTGAACCTGGCATCTCGCTTTCTCACTTGCTCCCTTTCTTTTACTCTGTTCATCTCTGGTCAAATTAAAATAAATAAATAAATAAAGTTCAATAAAATAATTATTTTAAAAAAAGAGAATAACAGGATCCATGGGATATGACAATATCTAAAAAAATTATTATGAGATCTTTTATATTTCTGATCACACTGTATTATATTGGGTCAACAGAAAAGTCATGACATATTTTTCAGTGTAAAAATGCATCATGACTTTTCTGACGACCCAGTAGACTATAATAGTTCCTTCTCACAGACCTGACCAATAGTCCATTGAGGAAAGCAAACTACAGTGTTACTCTATGAGGTGTTTCTAATGATGTGCAGCTACAGGAAAAGCCCCATCAGAATAGACCTCACTGACAGTGATTCTTTTTTAAAATAAAAAACTGTATTTATTTATGAGCATTCAGAGTGTCAACAAAACAACAAAACGCTGCAACTGTTTTTCTTTTTCTTTGCAATTACAGAATAGTATTCAGTTAATAGGATAATTATTTCACGTAAGCTTCAATGGAGAAAAGCGAAGATGAAAAAACTACCATCCTGTATATAACGATTTTGTGCTGTGCACCAGCAAGAAATTGTTTTGAATTTCCATGCCCATTTACAACCCCCACACTGGACCAGGCAAGAGAAGTGGCTATTGAAAATACCACAGGACTGGGCTTTTTATAGACACTTTGGTAATGTATTCACTGTTCAAAAAAAAGACACTGTACAGTTTGAAAACAAATCTTACTGAGTCTTACGTTTCAAGTTTTTTTTCTTTAAAAGTAAGTTGCATTTAGAGGGGATTAAATGCTTTATAGACAAGGATAAAAAACTTTGCCAGAACCAACTTATTCATCATCATTGTCTTCTTCATTTTT